TGCCCCATGTCTCAGACCTTATGATCTCCAGCACTGGCGTAGTAACACAGCTAAGTACAGTTCAGTAGCTTGGGGGGGCCCAGGAATAAGAGCCAGGAGGACGCCGGTCTCCAGCCACAAAGGTATTTGGAAGTCTCTATTGTGCCCCTGGGTGAAAAAGACTCGCTGATTGTCGTTAGGTCCTGCTTCTGTTGTTGACCCTGCATTGGCAACCAATGAGGACACATCACAGCCTCCTTACGCTGTCCAACCTCCCCTTCCTCAGCTCCATACTGGGTTCACAGCACCGCCTTGTCCCCCAGTGACTCATGTCAGGAGCCAGATGAGGTGGAGGATGGTGACCCACACTTTTCACTCCGTGTGTTCCAGCTTAGCTCTGGCTTGGTGCGCGTGGTGGGTAGCAATGCTCACTCCTTAACGGGCTGCGGAAAGATTGCTGTAGCCCTTGTTTGGCTGACTCGTTTAATCACCACTGTGGTGGCGCCATCATCATGTCCCCTTTCTAACACTTCATATATGTAATGTTTTAGCCTAATAGTGAGTGTTGTGGCTGAGCTTGGGAACCTCATCAAGATGTATAGCTCTGTTTGATTGAAAAATCACCTTCAAGTGTCACACAAGTTATGAGGGGACTTTTAGAACACCAGTTTGTGCGTTGGGACCTCTGTGCTGTTTGTATTGTTCTCTAATTAGTGTGTGGAAGGATGTTAATCTCCCCCAGTGAAGTAATAAATGCCATAAGGGCTGCATTGTCTGTGCATGGGTCCCTGGACACCCAGCAGGTGCAGGCTCAAGGATGCATTCATAAATACATTTAGTTCCTCCGAAGCCCAGCTGCTTGTCTGCCTCAAAGGAGGGGGTGCTGATAGGAGTAGCCTTGGGCATCCTGGTGCCCAAACTTGAGGGTTCATAGACAAGGCATAGGGAAGCAGTCTGTCTTGCCCATGTTCATCCTTGTTTAGGATTTAGTAAAAGCTAACACTGTCCTGGGTGTTATGCAGTGCTTAAGTCCTCATAGACATGTTGTAGACAGCTGTCATTATTCCCACTATGTAGATTAGAAGGCAGGCCGGAAACTTACTAAAAGTTCAAATTGAGGGATGGGTGTGGTGGCGCATGCCTTTAATCCCAGCACTCTGGGAGGCAGAGACAGGTGGATCTCTGAGTTCGAGGCCAGCCTGGCCTAAATAATAAGTTCTAGGGACAGCTCATATGGTTAGGACTACATAAAGAGACCTTGTCTCGAAAAACAAAAACACCAAAACCCAAACCAAAAATATTCAAGCTGAGATTCAAATCTAGGTGCCCAGCTCCAAGGCCCAAATCAAGCTAGGGTCACCAGCAAGCCTCTGTGCTGGAGACAGTACATATGGTGACACCGTGGACGCCACATACGGTGACACCGTGGAGTGCTCTCACTCTTGTGTCTTCCTGCCTCGTGGCCTCTGTTAGCTCCTCCCAGCAGGCGAGGTAGATGCCTGATTTTAATGGGTGTGTATACACACTACCAACTGTACACGAGGTAGATGCCTGATTTTAATGGGTGTGTATACACACTACCAACTGTACACGAGGTAGATGCCTGATTTTAATGGGTGTGTATACACACTACCAACTGTACACGTGTGCTGCTGCCACCAGTCTGTGTCCAGTGCTCATGCAAAGGTCTGAGGACAGCTTGCAGGAGTCGTTTCTCCCCTTCCTGAGCTGCCCGAATAGACGGTCTTGATCACCAACATGGCAGTCACCCCATACTTTCCCTGAACACATAGGAATCCCATGCAGCCCCCCAGAGGACAACACTGAGGCCTCATTCTGGTTGTGTTCTCAAGTGAGGGTTCCGAGGACAGTTGGGAGACGTGTGCTGTGTCTCTGTGGAGCCTAAGGATGGGTTTAGAACTGCAGGTGTGGGTGGGGTTTATGACGTGTAGTAAATCTCAGAATGAAGACGGGGTATCTGCTTTTGACCTTAGTGCTCCTGTTCAGATCCTTCAGCCAAGCCTATACAACTCTTGGTACCATCCTAGGGAGATCTGAACAAACAAGCGTCTCCTCAACCTCACACAAGCCCAGCTTGGTGAGCCAGTGAGTTTTGTGGGGTTACTTAAGCAGCATGGATGAGGGTTACTTACAGGATCAGAAATGACTCAGACAGCCGCATCACCAAAGCCCACCCCAGAGTGTGTGGCAGCTCACAGAAGGGAGCTTGGGGACAGTGCAGTCACAGGCAGGTAACAGGCTAGAGAGCGTCCTCTCAGATGCCTGAGCTGGTCTGAGCCTCTTCCAGGCAGCTGAGTCTTGTAGTCTGAGTGTCTGAGCAGTCCTTACTGATTTTAAATACTTGGGGAGGGAGGTGCCTTTTGAATCTGGTCAGTTTCAAGGATTTCCTGGAACCTTGGGGTTGTTCACTTCCTGAACTTAAGGCCCTTCCCTGAGAATGAACTGCCTCACGTCTGTAGAACCTAGTGTTTTCCTCATGGTGAAGGGTTACCTTGGAAGGGACTGCTGCCCATCAGCCTGGCTTGGTTAGGTAGGCTGCCACCCTGGCGACACCTTGACCCTTCCTGAGATGTGCTTCGCAAGGTGGCCATTGAGCAGCCGTCTCTAAAGCTCACAGGAATGGTCGTAGCCTTGGCTGATACGGCATCCTGGTGCTGGCTTTCTTGGTTATGTGAGGGTTTATTCCGAGTATTGTCCTGAGTCATGCAGCAGTTATGACGAGCAGCTCAGATGGCGTTCCAAAGCTCTCCGTTTCCTCACAGGACATCACTTGAAGTGGTTTTGACAAAGTCTACGGAACACACTCTGGGGAGGGGTTGGGGTGGGGGTGCTCATCCCCGAGTCCAGGCAGCTTCCTCCACTCTGCTCTTTGGATTGGTGTCTAGTTCTGTTGGAAATGAGATCATATATTCAACTCTCAGGCTGTGTTAGTGAAAATGAACTCTAATGTGATTAGATACTAATGCAATGTAATGGAGGATCAGTATTAGATTGAGACCTTCTGATCTTATTACTCCACAAACTCGGGCTCTCTCCTGCTCAGCTGCTGCCCTGCCCCAAGCCCCAGGCCAGGCAGAAGCCTCAGTGGGAGAGAAGAAGCCAGGAACCTGCCAGGAGCAAGACCTGTGTGCCAAGAGCACTCCAGGGGCAGACCCACTTACAAACCGTGGCAGAGGCGGCAGGGCCTCAGGCCTGATGGTGGCCTGCCCACAGGCTTAGTGCTCTGTGAGGCCTGAGAGGTCTCCCATGGAGTCTTACCTTACATTCAAAGTCTCTTGAACAGTGACCGGTGCTGGCTAGAAAGCCCCCTGCTCCGTGTCCCTCCCTCCCTGGCTTCCTCTCAAACCTAGGGATGGTTACAGGCTCCTGTGTGTCCCCATTCCTGGCATGAAGACTGAGTCCTGATGCCTCACACAGTCTTCCACAGCCTGGCCTGTAGAACCCCCACAGCCTGGCAGACCTCCCTGCCCACAGACTGTCTCCTGCCTGGCAGGTACCCCAAGAGCAGAGGTCTTGGAAAGTAGGAGTCGCCCACTGGGAAGCAGGGCAGCGAGGCATGCATGGGGGATGGGCAGGTGGGCTGTCTCTAAGCGTGAGTAATAGTGTTTTCACAGAGAAAGTGATTTTTCTTACTCTGTTTTCAAAAACCTACTTCCGGAGGCAAGCCTTTGTGCACAGGATGGTAATGACTTTTTAATGACCTTAAGAGGACTGGTGTCCGGGCAGCGGAGCATCAGTCTCAGTGGGAGGTGCGTAGTGAGAAGGAAGACGGAGCACCTGAAGCCAAATGGAAAAACAAACTGCAGACACATGTATTTCCTCTACTAGCATTCCTTGGTAATTAGACAATTACTGGAAACAGCTTCACAGCAGCTGCATTTCTACAGTGCGGGAGGAGGGAGGGACAGCGCAACGGTGAGCTGCTCCCATGGACTCTAGAGGATGGTCCCGGGGTTCGCAGTCACAGTGCACGCTCTCGAGCTGAGGCGAGCCAGGCCAGGGGCAGGGCTCCTCCTGCACCCATGTGGGCTTCTAGGTGAGCTGGCGCAGCCCAGCCCGTGGAGGAGCACTTGTCTTGGGAGTGTCGGGGTTGCAGCTGGGGCGATGGCTCAGTGGGAATCGCCGTGCAAGCTGGAGTGAGTGGGGTTTGGATCCTAACACCACTTAAAGGGCAGGTCCCGCCCCAGTGCTGCTGCAGGAGGGGTCCGGAGGCAGGAGGATCTCCAGAGCTTGCCAGCCAGCTACTCTGGCTGAAAAAGGCATGCTCTGGGTTCAGTGAGAGACTTGTCTCCGGGTTCGACGAGAGATCTTGTCTCAAACAATATGGTGGAAAAGTAAAGGAAGATACCTGGCATTGACCCCTGGCCTCCCCGTGCACACTGTACATACATGGGGAGGAAGGGAGAGGAAAGGGGAAATAAATTGAAATAGAGATTGCTTTGGAAGCCACTGAGAGACGGGCCAGCCCTGAAAGGAAGCCTACGGTGCCTGCAAGGGGCCAGCTCTGCTCCAAGTGACTCCTGCAGCTCCAAGCTCAAGTATAGGACCTGCCTCACCCTCCCCCACCCAGCCACCCCACTGCCCCGGTTCAAAACTCTCCTCCCAGCAGCTTCCGGTGCAGTTGCCCACCCCTGACTCGGGTTTGCATTGTGTTGACTCTCCTGCCAACCCTGCCAGCAGCCCGATGAGCCAGGCCTGCCCAGGTGTAAGTGAGGACACCGGCTGATGATGTCTATATCAGGCACACTCTTTGCACCGGGCACGTGCGGTCCATAGTCTTGCTTTGCTTCTCGATGGCATTCTAAGAACCCTGAGTCACAGTTACACACAGTGGTGGTGCCTGCTCCCAAGACATCATGGGGGAAGCCCCATCCCACCCCAAACTCATCTCCCTGTCGTCTGGGTCTCCTGGCACAAGAGCCGACATGACCCATTGCCAAACCGTCAGCCGGGCCAACTGCACCAGCTAACCAGGAAAATTGCTGTTTCCTCACACACAGGTCCTGGCAATCGGTCACTTTTGAAAGACAGCCTGCCTCCTTCATCCGAATCGTTGGAACACACAACACAGCAAATGAGGTAAGGGCTCTGTCTTGAGACGTGGTACTTCATGATAACCAGGTAGCCATGGACCCCCGTCCTGGCTAAGTGGATCTCTCTGCCCTGCCTGATAATGGCTTGTTGTTACTGCAGTTCATTGTAAAGAAATCCGCGCTGTTCACTGGCGAGAGACAGCCAACAGCTGCTGCTTGGATTCTTCCGCCAGCCTGGGTGGGAATAGCATAAGAGACCCTGAGAAATCGGACGCCCTTCTCTCCTCAGATAACAGTGCTGTGGCAGCATCTAGGAGGTGGCTGTGATGTTGGCGCTGTGTGCTGTCACCGTCTTACCGGTCCCCATTACACATTAGTACATAGTTCTGAAAGGCTCTGGTTAAAGACAGACAGCGAGGTGGAAAATGAGAAGTGAGAGATAGTGACTGAGTTATACCACGCCATGGCCTTTTCGGCTTCTTCCAGGACTGGTTCATGGGTGTGCCACCACGGGGGCCTCTGTGCTTGGGACGTAGCTAGTGTGCTCTGAGCTCCTCCTGGAGGTGTTTGGTGTCTTCACTGTTGGTTATATTACAGAAGGGAACCCTGCTGGCATTAGACCACGCCAGTGCAGCCTACGTGCTGGCCTCCTGCCCTTTGCTCTCAACAGGGTGACTCATGTGAGTCTGGGTAGGGTCCTGGAGAAGGCCAGGGCTGCAGTAGCCCCAGGCTGTCCCCACATATGAAGGAGAAACACATTAGGTGGCAAATTGAAGAGCATGGCACTTGAGAGACTTGCTGGGGCAGAGGGGTACCCTCTGCTTCTGACACACAGGCCTCTCCTTTGGTCACTGCACCTGCCCACATGGGGAGAGCTGGCCCAGATGTGCCACTGGTTTTTGTGGTGTCCTTTATCCCAGAAAATATCCACGTATGCCTTGTGCTTCAAGAACAGGTTTAGAAGTGGAAATGGCATTGTAATTTAGATCCATTTTGCCTTTTTATTTCTTTAGGACAATAATGATTCATACCTACAATGTGTTTCCTATAGGGACCAGCTTGTAAATAGACCCCAACCGTTTTCTCCTGCTTCCAAAACTAACTTGAAATTTTCAAAATAGCAAATCAATGATACTTTTACAGACGTCTAAACTTCGGGTCATAAGCAGGTATGGTGGCCAACTCCTGAAACCCTGGCACTCAGAGATCAGGGCAGCAGAACAGCTGTGAGCCCAAGGCTGGGCTGGGGACATAGGGAACACCAGGTAAGCCAGGACTGTCCCAGCGGGACTGTCCTTAAAATCCTCAGGCCACTTGTCTTGGTGTTTTATCAAAAACAAATTTGAATTTGCATTTAATGTTTTGTTTGCAAATTAATAGTTTTTAGATTTGACCAATAAGTTCCAATTGCATGTGAATACCTTCAGCTGCAGGTAACTGTACTTCGAGGCAGTTGTGAGCTGCCTGCTCTGGGTGCTGAGAACTGCACTAGCTTCCTCTGGAAGAGCAGGAGAGGCTCATAACCACCGATCCCCCATCTATGCAGGCCTGAGTTCCAGTATTTCTTACCAGTTTACTATCTATACCAATAACAAAACTAAAATATTTCTATTCAAAGTCTTTCTAATGCAGTGAGCCCCTACCCCCACAGGAAGTCTAGTCTTCTGCATAAATGCCTAGATGGAGCTCCATGACGAGGTGTTATAACCAAGGGGTTCTCAAGTCGGGCTGGAGGCAGGTGCGGGGCTCTCCAGGCACACAACAGCACCATCAGCGCTCTGACCAAAGCAAGGGAAAAGAACCTTGGACATGGGATTTCAGAGTGGTTCTTTCTCAGGCCTTTCCCACCACAACGCTATAAAACAGGGTGCAGGGTGCCCCCCAACTCTCTTGGATCACCTGGCAGGGCCTGGACAGAGTGTTGGTGGGCAGCCTGACATGGTCGGTCAGCTGCCTCATTTGGCTGACGAGAACTTCCCTAGCTGCTTTCCAGGGTCACTATTGACTGAGAAAATAAAGCCTTAGTAGCATAGTGTTGCCAATTGAAAACATCTTAAATCATAAGATACATGATGAACAGGGCTTCAGGATAGAATCCATAACTGTCATTCCCAGAGTGCACTGGAGAAATAAGCAGGCTGCATCTCCCTGGGCGTGGATGATGTGGCAGACTGCCAGAGAGAACGTCCCTTGCTGTCCCCGCTGGGTTTTGGATATCTCTGGAAAGAGGATATGACTGGCTGTCGCTTGTCAGGACAGAGGACTCAGGGCTGGGTGGGCAGAACACCTGGGCGCAGCTCTGAAGGAGAACTGATGTCCCAGGCAGGAGTGTAGAGCTGACGCGTGGGACCCGACCAGGGAAAGGGAGCTGGGATGGATGTCCAGGATGTTCTCTCGGCCCACGGGAGCCAGCAGCATGCTGTCATAAACAGGGCTGAGGAGAAGCAGCGTTTCCTCAGCTGCCGCTGCTCGGCTGCAAGGCGACTTCAGTGGCATTCCTAGCCCGCACTGCTGAGGCCAAGCCCCACCAACTGCACGGCTGACAGGACGGACACTTGTCTCTCACAGCTCAGGGACTCACCTTCCCGGCCAGGGTGCACACCCTCTGGCTGGTGGTCGCCCTTCTTCCTTTGCGTGTCTTTCTTGGAACACATACCTGGAAGGGAGTCGATGAGATCTGGTTCCCCCTCCCACAGGGCCCTGGCCCACGGTCACGTTTAAACTAGTAGCCCTCAAAGCCCCTACCTTCTAGTGCGTGGCACTATGACCTGGGGACCTCAGACACGCGTTCTCACAGTGGCCTTCCTGTGAGAACAGCTCTTGTTCCCTTCAGCTGAGTGCTTGTACCCCCGGCTCATGCTGCTGCTGCGGCTGTCAAGTTGCGTAGGAGCGCCTGGCTTCCGTGTTTGTTCTGTGTGTTTGCTGGTCACGGAGTCTACAGTGGTGTATGTAGGAAGGGAGCACGAGCGCTGCGCCGTCCTGCCGGGGAGGTCTGCAGAGCAGGACACGGAGAGAGGGCCGTGGGGCGCCCACACGGGCTCCTGAGAGTGGGAGAGCATTCGCGGGGACAAGGTGTCCGAGTCGGGGTGCAAGCGGCCACTCACGCTGCTTGTTTACAGCCTCTCTGTACTCTCTATAGCCTGGAGCCCAAGGTGACAGCTTTGCAACTCTGTGCTGGATTCTGCCATGACATCCAGTGACCGGCTGGCTCAGGGTAACAGATACCAGCAGGGCTGGACGAGGCTTCCAGGCCCAGGCAGGTTAGGATTCTGTGTCTGCTCAGGCTCTGCTGTGTCCAGAGGGCTAGCATGTGTCTGCCGTGGTTAGCCTCTCCTCCCTCAGATCTAGGCCAGCTGTTGGAGCACTCTGATTCCTCCACCTTCCCTGCTGTCCTCTGGGAAGTGATGCTCCTAGAAGCGGGGCTCCTCCTCCCTGTCGGGCCCAGTGCTCACTGCCCACAGAAGAACTGACAGACTGACAGACAGCAGGGCGTGTCCCATCCGTGCTGGGTGTGCACCTTAGTGTGTAGGAGGACCCTTTACACACGCTTCAGACCAGGAGAGATGCTGCAAGTGATAAAACTACGGAGGGAAAGGGCCAGGGGTCAGGGCTGTCTCAGCCAAACTGGAGTTCCTGGGGTAAGAAGGCTTGGGTCAGGCAAGTGGAGAGTCCTGCTCTTCACCCTGGCTGTGGCTAGGTGTAAGTATTCTCACAAACTGCATATACCGTTACATGTAAAATGTGCCACCATGGAGCATATGTACCGGGATACATATTTGCTGGCTTCAGGAAATCCTCACTAGACTACAGAAGCTCTCAGGGCTCCTGCGCCATGATGGTGAAAAGCCATTTTCCTAAAGGTAGGGACTTTAAGCTGGCTCTTAGCATCTGACTCTTGTGTCTCCCAGAAAATTGTGACAGTGGTGGGGGCTACGTGGGCTCTCAGGCCCATACCTCGGGTAATTGCATCACACTCTGGTGGGCTTGCTTTGTGCTCCAAGTATGCTGGTCTAGGAGAGACTGAGAGAGACCCCTTCCTTATAGGGACTGCAGCCTCTGCCTGGCAGTGTACCCCTCGAAGAGCCCTGTACTTCAGGTGACATTTGTACCTCTAAGTCCTGTGACATGGCGGATGGCGGTTCAGGGGCAGCTGAGATGACCCAGCGTGGGTGGGGCAGGGATGGTGGAGGAACAGACTTTGCTCTCTAAAACAGCGTGTGGAGGAGGGGCATGCAGACTGTTCCACACTCCGCCAGGTGTCAGCGACTGTGACCAGCCACGCTCTTGCTGTACAGGCCAGCGCCAGCAGAGCACGATCTGCATGTGAGTGCTTGAGCTGCCTAACATGCTGAGGTGGGCTTTCCTCACAGGCTCCATGAGACAGTGAGTGATTCTGGGATCCTAGTGCCTCCTCGTTCCCATAGCAACATGCAGCTTTAGTGGGAAATTAAAACCAGGAAAACAGACTCTGGAAAAACTAAATAAATGCTCCTTGCTGGCCTGGAGTAATTATTTTCCAGACCCCCTGTGGAGTGTGCCCTGACCCTGAAGGACTGTCCTTCCATGTTCTCTCCAGAGACATCAGCTAGGCCCAGAAGGTGTCTCGGAGCAGCCTGGTCTCAGAATTCCCAGGGCCACAGCAGACATGCACCAAGCAGCAGGTGGTTACAGACTCAGAGAAAGGAGACAGGACCAGGGACAGCTCCCTTTGCAGACCGCTCTGCTCCTGGGGCAAGTCTGGCCCTCCTGGAGTGTTGTGTCTCAGTGGCCAGGGAAAGAGACAGCATGAGCTGACCCCAGCACACAGGTCTCCTGTGGCACCATGGGCAAGGTTCTGTGGGCTAGGATAAGTTGTCGGTCGAGACAGACAATGGTGTAGATGTTGGGGAAGTCCTGTGCATTTGTCAATAAAGCACTGTCTGGCCAATAGGGAATCTAGATAGGTGGGACTAGGAGTCCAGGAGGACTCTGGGAAGGAGAAACACAGGAAGTCGAGATGTAACCGCCATGGGGTAGGAAGCCCGGAACTATTTTCCGGTAAGAGAA